CCCGCATTACATCCATCACATTCCATAACAGGCCATGGCCGACGCCGCGGAGGAAGATTTCAGTTCTCTGCCGCTTCCGGATCGCTTCGTACACAAGGTCTGGAAGGTGCGGAAAGAAGCATACGAGGCCGCCGCCAAAGAGTTCAGTCTCGCCGCCAGTGAATCAGACCCCATTGTGCGCCAGTTCATAAACGATGCGAGCGTATGGAAAGGTGTTGCGGGCGACTCCAATGTCGCGGCACAACAAGAAGGTCTCGGCGCACTGTGCGCCTTCCTCGAGATAGCAGGAAGGGAGGGCTGCGTACGGTAAGTACTTTGCAAAACTTTGCGCGGCGCATTACTAACGCATAGTTCAGGTCACGCGGAAACACCATCACAGTCATCGCCGAAAAGGGCCTACCCTCGACACGACCGGCAGCGAAGGCAAAGGCGCTCGAAGCGCTCATGCTATACATCGAGACCGACAAGCCCGACCCCGTAATCGAAGAGCTCCTACCAGTACTAGGGAACAAGCAACCCAAAGTCATCGCAGCGACTTTAGACGCCCTTACACAGATTTACCATGCCTACGGCTGCAAAACCATCGAGCCCAAGCCCGTCCTCAAGGCGCTTCCGAAATGTTACGGCCATGCGGACAAGAACGTTCGCGCCAAGGCGCAGGAGTTGACAGTCGAACTTTACCGATGGCTAAAAGAGGCCATGAAGCCGCTCTTCTGGAACGATCTGAAGCCTGTCCAACAGCAAGATCTCGACAAGCTGTTTGAAAAGGTCAAGGAAGAGCCCTCGCCAAAACAGGAGCGACTGCTCCGTTCACAGCAGGCTGCCAAGGAAGCCGCTGCCGCTGCACCAGACGTCGAAGAGGAGGAAGAGGAAGAAGAGGCCGCCATTGATCTTGAGCCCGAGTACGAAGCCGTTGATGTCTTCGCAAAAATTCCCAAGGACTTTTCGGAGAAGTTGGCCTCGTCAAAATGGAAAGACCGAAAAGAAGCGCTCGATGACACGCAAAAAGCTCTTGATCACCCAAGGATCGCCGAAGGACCTTTCGATGAGCTAGTACGCGGCTTTGCGAAGACCTGCCTGAAGGATGCGAATATTGCCTGTGTTGTAACTGCCGCGAACTGTGTCGAGCTTCTAGCCAAGGGCTTGAAGAAGAGCTTCGCCAAGTACCGCAAAGACGTCATGAACGCAATGATGGAGCGCCTGAAGGAGAAGAAACAGACTGTGACTGACGCCATTGGAGCTGCTCTGGACGCCTCCTTCGCATGTACGAGCTTTCAAGAGTGCTTGGAGGAGATTCTGGAGTTTCTAAAGCACAAGAATCCTCAGGTCAAACTTGAATCGTCGCGATTCCTGGTTCGATGCTTGAAGAACACCCGCGAAGCCCCAACACCGGAACAAGCCAAGGCCATCGCAGAGAGTTCTACAAAACTACTTACTGAATCTCAAGAGGTACAGCGAGCTGCTGGTGCCGAGGTGCTTGGTACGCTGTGGAAGATTATGGGAGACCGTATCATGAACGCTCATCTGGACGGACTTGACGAGATCCGCAAGACCAAGATCAAGGAGTTCTTCGATGCTGCGGAAGTCAAGTCCAAATACAAGCCAAAGGCTGCACCAGCGCCCAAGCCTGCAGCCGCAGCACCGACTAAGAAGCCTATGGGTAAACGGCCAGCACCGGGTGGCGCAAAGAAGCCGGCTCCTGCAGCAAAAGCACCCCCGCCTCCGCCTGTGGAAGAGCCCGCCGCACCTCTCGAGCCGAAGCCGACTTCCAGACCCGCCGCGTCCAAATTGGGTGCCAAGCCCGGTCTTGCTGCACCATCAAGGCTCGGTGGATTGAAGAAACCAGGTCTCGGAGCTCCTTCGCCACGGAAATCTGTTGTTTCACCGCCTCCCGAGGAAGAAGCACCGCCGCCACAGCCCAAGTTTGGTGCCGGACGTGGTCTCGCAGGTCGTCCCCTAGGAAGGCCTGCTGCTGAACCCGTCGCCGCCCCAGCACCACAAGCGCCAACTGGTCTCAGCCTGGTGGAACGTGCGGAACTTGATGAGTTACGAGCAGAGGTTGAACGAGTACGGCGACAGAATGAAGATCTGCGTGGAGAAAGGACAAACCTCACTTCGCAGATCCATGAGCTCCAGAACCAGAACGCTCAGCTCATCGAAGATCACACCCGCGACGTGCTCTCGATAAAGGCAAAGGAGACGCAACTCGTCCGTGCACGCTCAGACTTTGAAGCATCCGAGCAGACAGTACAGAACCAGCGCCGCGAGATTGATAGATTGAAGCGCGAACTCCTTAGACAAGCGCGTTCAAATTCTCCGCCAGCTACAGACGTCGGAGACCAGATATACACTGACAATGGAGTTGGTAACACCAACGGCGCGCATTTCGGTGACTCTGGCTATGGCAGTCGGGCCATGCACCCAAGGCGAGAGAGGAGTTTTGCCAGTGGGCCAGGAAGCCCGGGCGGCGATGGTAAGGAGAACTTTGATTCTCTATCTCGCCCTGGCAGTAACTTGAGCGGAAAACTAAGTCCACGAGCAGATGGTCTGTCGTCGATGTCGCGTGATGGCAGGAGCCCAACAGAGAACGGAACAGCTCAACGGGTACCTTCCGCAGGAGCATCTGGTGCGGAAAGCTGGAAGCGCGCAGCAGAGGTTACCCAAAATCTCAAGCAGAGGATTGAGATGATGAAGGTCAGTTCCGACACCTCCCACTTTGAAGAAGACCGCCGTCTTTGTTTTACATTTAACGACGAAGCTTACAATTCCTCAGGCTAAGCAAGGCATCGGACGGCCATAGCAATAGAATAGCGACTTGCCGATTCGACCTCATTTTCTCGACGAGCAGTCATCTTTGCGCTTGCACGAACGAATTGCCGCGCTTCACCCAAAATCGAGACGGGCACACACAGATTTTCTCGAGGGCGTTCATAGGGCTTCGTAGCTCATCGCTTATCTTGGACCCTGCACCCCATACAAGGGAAAAACTGAACACCTAGGAGCCTACGTCGCCGTCAAGCCACCAGCTTCACAAGTTTTTATCTTAATGTAGGCTCTAGGGTGTTCGGTTTTTCCTTTAAATAGGGTGCCTGTATGCGCTCTGCATGCATTTATCCGTGAGCATCTTCAACGGCGTTGGTCTGGCTTGGGGCATGCATTTGTGTAATAGTGTTAGGCAGGGCAGGGCATGAGGCTTAGGATAGACCGGGGAGAAAAGCACGCGTGCAGGCTCTATGACTTGCATGGTCTTGGTGCAGAGGGGAGACGTCGTTTTTCCCTTCCTTCCCTTCTTCAGAGATTCCCCACACGCTTGTGTTCATTATCGCGAGTTCAATAATAGATGTTATAATCTTCCCTCTGTCCTCTCTTCCTACTCTTCTTCGAGATACCCATCCCGTCACCGTATCGAAGCTATGACCCGTCCCTCGCCGGCCGCCTGCCCAACCAACAAGACGCGTCGCGTCAGCCCCAGGTTACCAGTCCACTGGGTCCTCACAAATAACTGTGCCGCAGACCGCAGCGACCACCCTTGGCAGCACACCCCGGACAATGAGATCGCAACGTTTTTTATCTGCGACAGCGAGCTGCGACGTGCTGCAGGATCGCTTTCCCCACAGTAGCCACCTCAATTCGATCTTGTACATCATACATCACGCATCGCCATACTACATCCTGCATCCTGAATGCGCAGCACGCGCCACCTCTCCGTCTCAGCCATGATGGACCCGGGACTGTCGCGACGAGCGCGGAACGCGCTCGACGGGCTTGCGCCTGCGCTGGAGGGTACCGCACCAGAGACGTTTGACCCTTTTGGCAATACGATTGATCTCAGTGGTGGGGGTAATGAGGTGCTGCATCCCGAGTTACAAAAGTTTCTGGGCGATGTTGCGAGGGATGTGGGGGCGGTTGAGGTATGTTGTTTCCGATTTCGGTTGCGAAGATCGTCAGGGCTCGTTATACAAGTATAGTTTTGCGCATGTACTAATTTGGCATGAATCTACGATAGGCATTCACGTCCCCCACGGAATCTCTTAACGGCGGCGATTTAGGGTTGAGGAGTGCTCTTGCGGGCTTTTTCAACTCGTATTTCAAGCCTGTTCATGCTGTGAGGGCTGAACATATCGTTCTTACAGCTGGGACCACGGATGCGATTGAGAATGTTATACATGCTGTATGCGACGATGGGGATAGTGTGCTTGTTCCTGGTCCGAGTTGTCGTAAGCATTCCTTCCACACCAAGCCCCGGTCATATCCATAACTTCGTCCAACCCTCACTTACAAAATTGCCCTCTTTGACTGATGTAACCACAGCCACCCTCTCGCTCTTACTGAAGCGAAAAGCAAACGTAACACCCATCCCCGTCATCCCACCGACCCACATTCACTGGGACAACTACCTCGTCCCCTCCCTGCAAGCCGCCTACGACTTCTCCGACTACAGAACACGGATTAAAGCTGTTTTGTTATCTAACCCTAACAACCCACTTTCCCGCTGCTATCCACGGGAAACGTTACGGGAATTGCTGGAATTCTGTCAGGAGAGGGGGTTGCATCTGATTGTTGATGAGGGGGCTGGGCTGATGGCATTAGATGGGAAGGAAGGGGGCGGAGGAGCTAAGAAGAAAAGAAATGGTGAGACGTTCGTGAGCGCGTTGTCGTTAACTGAGCCACTTGTACCGGAGGGAGCCGTCAAAGTCGATCCGAGTCGTGTGCATGTGGTGTGGGATGCAAGTCGGTTATTCGGATTAGGTGGACTGAAAATCGTAAGTACCTCCTCTCTTTCCGTCAAAACTATACGTGTTGGAACGATCAAGAGCTAACACGAGTATCTGCAGGGCTGCGTGGTATCCCAACAAAACACCCCTCTCCTCACCTCCCTAGCACTAACATCACCACACCCCTCCTCCCTCTCAACACTCTACCTAACCTCCCTGCTTACATCATCCCTCCTCCCCTCCCTTCTCACTCTAAACACATCCCACTTGTCAACTTCCTACAACATGCTCGCTTCCTTCCTCCGAAGCCGCGACATCGAGACCGTGGTACCTACACACGGCCCCTTCCTCGCTGCTAAACTAGCAAAGAAGACTAGGACAAGCGAGGAGGAGAACGCTTTCTGGAGGGAATTGGAAGGAAGAGGTGGGATCAAGGTTGCACCTGGGCGGGCGTTCAATGGAGTGGAGAAGGATGGGGGTTGGGCGAGGGTGAATTTTGCAGTTAGGGAAGAGGTCATGCAGGAGGTGGTGGGAAAGCTGGAGGACTTCTATGGGGGGAGTGGATGAGGGCGGTATTATCGTCTGGAGTGTATGGCTGGGAGGTGGTTTGCTTGCCTGGCTTCGGCGCGTACTGTGCTGTTCGCGATGGGCGGAAATGTTGTGTTTGCTTTCCATGGTATAAGCGTGGGCGGAGCTCGTTTTCGTCGGAGTGTATAGAATGACATGTGTACGGTTTTCCTGGCTTTTGGATAGAGAAGCTTGCGCTGGATTGGAGTATCTAATAGTACAATATCAGGTTTTCTTCCATGCCATGACTAAAGCGCATGTGTCCTCAAAGTGCGCCAACACCGTCCACGTACAACATACCAACGGGATCACCTCACAAATGTCCTCCCTCTCATGATCGCGCCTTTACCCGGTCCCTTGCCCGCCTCAAACTATGAGGACGTGCCCAACACCCCATCATTCTCCTCGATATACCTCACCATATCATCGATGGTACACACCTTGATCCCCCACTTCTTGCCAAAAGCCAAGCAGTCATCCCTCCTCATCATGCCCCCACCAATCAACTCGGGCTTACCAGGCACCTCGTCGCCATCGGTAATCAACTCGCAAATAACACCAACAGGTTGCTTGCCCGCCAACCGGCACAGATCGACCGCCGCCTCCGTATGCCCCCTCCTTTCACGCACACCACCATCCCGCGCCTGCAACGGCAATATATGACCCGGTCTCCTGAAGTGACTAGCTTTAGCGCTGGGGTCGGCGAGCATGCGGCATGTTAAGCTGCGGTCTGTCGCTGAGATGCCGGTTGTGACGGACGCGTCGGATGAGTCGATGCTGACGGCGTAGGCGGTGCGGTTGGGGTCGGCGTTGTCGGCGACCATTTGCGGGAGGTGCAGGGCGGCGGCGCGGGAAACGGGGAGGGGCGCGCAGATGTAGCCACTTGAGTAGCGGATCATGAAGGAGGCTTTCGAGGGGGTGAGGGCCGAGGCGGCGATTATCAGGTCGCCTTCGTTTTCGCGCGAGGGTGAGTCAAGGACGATCACGAATTCGTCGTTTGCTGGAAGGCGCGTTAGTAAGGGTTGTGCGGGGTGAGGGGTATGGTAGCTTTTGGAGCTGGAGGTGTTCGCAGACACGTACCGAAGGCTTGTATGACATCTGGTATCGAGTCGAACGCTGGGTGTGCGGGTGTGGGATTTGAGAGCTCCGTCGCGTTGCCGTTGACACCATTGGTACCGTGGGCAGGCAGCCCGTTTTGGAGTTCTGCAGGCATGTTTGGGGTATGACTCTGGTCCAATTACTTTCGCCTGGTATCGCCTTCTCTTAAAGTAGTCGTGTCGAGGAAGAATAACGGAGCTTGGTCGTTCCGCGTGCTTGCAAAGCGTAGAGCTCGCTACCACTTTGCTTAGAAAAAGATCTCGTAAGCCACCGGATGTCCGCGCCTGGAACCTCGAGGTATGCTAAGCTCTGGGATAGTGCTCCTTATGTATGCTTCGAGCGCGAATGTATACTGCGTGACAATGCGAGAGTTAATTGAAGGAATTCGAGCGGAGTCAACGGTAGTGATGTATGCGGAACCGGCGTATCACGAGTACATCGAGAGGAGGTATCTAGAGGCGGGGCTTGCCTCGGAATCGGAGGCGGCAAACTCCGATGGCCGATGTGTGGCACGTGGTGGCTTGAGGTCGCGACTGCTACAAGACCAATGTTTGACAAGTCTGATCCTAGCACACGTACCTGTCGTCTTCAATTCTTAATAAAGAAATTCTATCCCATGCGTCCCCGATGAGGCCTCCGAACCCATGACATCCCTATCGCGCAGTGCAGCTCCACTTCTGCAAGCGGCAAACTATCCTCGCACAGCCAGCTATCAACGCATCCCTGAGGATGTTTAGGGCTTGTAACTGAGCACATCGTCCTTGTAGTATCTGGTAATGTTATTGTTAGATTTACTAATCCTCGGGATCGTCAATAGGGTGCATACCTGAAACCATCAAGCTGCGGAAGCTGTGGAAGAAATGCTGTTGATGCTGCGCATGGCAGCTTGCTGAAGTTCCAGGACCGCCTGGGTATACTGACCTTGCATATGCTCCGGTATGTACGACTGGCATTTGCACAAGAAGTCGACCGCTGCAAGGATGGCAGAACGCTCGTCCTCTCGATCAACTCCCACCGTTTCGGGCAGTTGGCCATCATCGCCAGTGCTTACTTGCTCTCCGCCTCCTGGCATCTTTCCCGTACCGCCTTCTTCACCCTCCTCGTCGCCGGCAGTGACTTCTTCTCGGCCCTTGTTATCTTCGTTATCTTCTCCAACTGGCATAGTGCCCATAACAAGTGTCTCGATGACCGGTTTTACAGGGCTTGCCGTGGAGGCTTGGTGTTCGCGTATCGGAAGTATCAGCGCGTTACCCTCGCCCAACTCAACGTCCTCGGCTTCCATCTCCGCCTCATCCTCGCTGTCGTCGCGCTCGATTCCATCTGCTTCTAAGTCCGTCTCGTCGTCATCGTCCTCTCCCTCTTGTTCAAGCATCCATGCCCCGTGTTCCTGGAGATATTGGTCTCGCTGCCTAGCCAACCAGTCAAGCTCCTCACGGAGATCTTGTAGGAGGGTGAGCGAATCGGTATCGTTCTTTTCCGTTGCTTTTCGTAATATATTACTGTAGGTGCTCTCCTGAGGTGCCACGGTCGAAGTCAGCGTATGTCTCACATCCAGTCTGTGCATTGGAGATCTTACCGCGGCGAGCCTCCATTCATTGCCATCGTCCCAGTTATCCATAGCGCTCGTGAGAAGTATACAGTTTCTTATAATGTAGTACGGCGGAAGAGTTGTGTCGCTGGGAACAGTCAGTCACAATGCTAACTCTGGTAGATGTTCTGTTGCTGCCACTTACGTTATGTTGCGCTTAGCCGCTGATATGCAGCCAGCTACATCACCGCTGTCGAAAAGCGCTTCTGCGTCCTCGAATTGCTTCCGATACCGTCTTAATGCTACACATGGATCAGACATTTTCGCCTTTATTGTGTGCAGATTTGTGGGAATCTTAGTTTTGGGTCAGCAAGAGTGTAAGGAAGAGCAAACGCAACGACGTAGACATCAGAGTTTGGGTGCCAAGCGTTGCATATGGGACAACAACCAACTTGTTTGCTATGCGAGGATGCAGAAAATTTTCACTCCGTTTCACTTTACACCGGCATACCACTCTACTCGATTTCTGCAGATTTCGTTCTGGATCTCGGTCGCGTCTGCAGTATCCAGCAATCGTATCAACGACTGCGCCGTAAATAACCTCTCGCGCAAGACAAGGTCCTCGGCCTCCACATGACAGCCTGTTCTTGATGATATGGAAGAGAAGACGTCGAAGCAGCTGCCGTAGTACCCACGCCCAGCATCGTCGTGAAACCACCCACCAAGCCTACAGCGCCTCTGCAAGACGACGATCAGCCCGCTCGCAGTCTGCAAAAGTAGAAGAGTAGAAAATTTGGCGGTATTGCAGCCAATATGTATGCCTCTAACAAGTCGTTGGGCAGGAGCAGTGGCGGACTGGCGTTGTACGACTTCGCGGAAGATGAGGAAGATGACAGGGAAAACAAGGGCGGCAGGGATAAGGACAATAAGCGTGTCTGAAGTGCGGCGTATGAAGCACGGTGTCATGCAGCGCCCGCCTAGGCAGCGTGTGTTGACTGTGCATCATGGACGTTGTGGTTGCAGTTGGGTAGTGACGTACGTAGTTCCAAAGAGCGATAATTTGATGGTTCATGCCTCCGAGGTTTCCTGCGGCGGTGAGTCGGTCGCGCCTGTACCACCTCTGATGTGGCTTGACCGATGGAAGATCTGTGGCTTGAAACTGCAAGATCGATATGTGACAAGTCTGGATACCCTTGTACCAGGTGGGCGGACTGTCAGACGTCGTGCGATGTGGCTCTGGAACATGGCGTTCTCTCCCTTTCTAGTATACCAAGTGTAATCACATGCGAGTATTACATACGTGAGAATGTTACGTCTAGTGTACCATTGTAATAAATCCGATCTATATCAGATACAAGTGAGGGTATAATCGAAGAAGACTACCCGCGTCGGCGCGCATTAAGGCGCCTCGACGTAATAACGCCATGTATACAAAAAGGCCACAAAAAGACTATCAAACTCGAAAGTACAATCTAGACGCCAGAGCAGACACAGTCTATGAAGCCCGCTTATCGGTGACAAACTCCTTGTCATCGTGAGCCGAGCTGCCTCCGCTATGCGGCTCTGAGACACCCATAGTCTCCGGGTCAGATCTCCAGAAGTCCTTCTTTCCGCTGGCGAGCCTCTTAACCCACGGGGGGAGGAGGCCGCCCTCGAGACGCCAAGTCCAGTGCTCCTTCTCGTCCTTGTTGGGAGGTACAATGCGACCACCAGAGGCCAGCTCGATGAGCCAGACGGTGGTGTTGATGAGAATGTACGAGCAGATACCGGCGATCAGACCGTAGGCGATTGAGTATGTGAAGGGCATGACGGCGATGGTGAGGAAAGCGGGGATGGAATCGCCGAGGTAGCGCCAGTTGATGTCCTTGGCCGAGGTTGCCATCAGCGAACCGACAATGACCAGGGTACAGCCGGTAGCCCAGGGAGGGATGGATGCGAAGATCGGAGCGAAGAAGATGGCGATGAAGAAGCAGATACCAGAGAACATGGCGGTAAGACCGGTCTTGCCTCCTTCAGAGATACCGGCACCGGACTCGATGTAGGCGGTGACTGGAGGGCATCCCATAAGCGATCCGATACTGATACCGAGAGCGTCGACGGAGTAGGCGATGGAGGAGTTTTCGAAGTCCTGAGTGCGCTCGTCGATAACACCGCAGAAACGAGCCATGGAGTAGAGGGTACCAGTGCCTAGTGATGTCAGCATATTGCTCAAAAAGTGTCTAACGCGCAACTTACAGTCCAGAATATCGACGTAGAGGAAGGTAACGAAAGCTAGACCCCATTGACCGGCGTGCTCCGAGATGTTCCACTGCTGAACAGCAAGAATCTTGCCAATCGGGTGGAAAGTAACGACCTGCTTGAAAAAGTCGAAAGCGGAGTTGCCAGTCTCGGTGTACGGGAAGTAGGTGACGCTTGTTGGGCGGGGCCACGAGATGATGGAAACAAGGAGAATGCCGATGATGATGGCACCCTTGACGCGGTACAGCATAAGCATGACGGTCAAGACACCGCCACAGAAGATACCGATCCACATGGTTGGGCTCCTCATCTTGACACTTCCTGGGCAGACGCCATCAACCTGGTCTGCAGCAACGCAACCGGCGAGTTCGAGAGGGGTCGATTGAGCACCGGTGATGAGACCGATACCAGCGGAGTAGGCGAGACCAATAATAGTCAGGTACAGTCCGATACCGACACCGGTGGCAAGCTTGATACTAGCAGGAATAGCTCGTGCAAGCCATTGTCGGATACCCAGCATAGTAAGACCAACAAAGACAAAACCCTCGACGAATACGGCAGTAAGAGCGACCTCGTAGGGGACCATGCCTAAAAAGCAATTAGCAACGTTCCATGAAGATCAACTGGTACGACCCGTGGCGCCGGTAAGCAGACCCAATTAGGGAACCGCATAACGGGGATACATAAACGGGAACGGGGAATGGCGCATTGGTGCAACGTACCTGTACCATGGAAACCAACTACGGTGTACGCGAAGTAAGCGTTCAGCCCCATACCCGGAGCCAGGGCAATGGGCAGATTGGCGAACAAGCCCATGCAGAAAGTAGTCAAAGCGGATATGGCGGCGGTCGCAGTAACCAGATCACGTCTGACTTCCTGGACACAGAGGGCGTACTGTGGGTTCGTCTCGCAGATGGGGTCGTCAGGGAGGCCTGGGCATACGCAAGTACCACCGGTGTCTGACACGATGGATGCTACACATGGTCATCAGATGCGGTTCTGTCAACGACATCCCGCAATGGACATACAGTTAACAGAGATGATATAAGCCATGGCGAAGAAGGTGGCTAGTCCCGCGCGGAACTCAGTGAAGAAGTAGCTCCCCTTGCGCTCTTTGGGCTATAGGGCTGTTAGTGCATGTACCGACTATCGACATGCGATATACATACATGCCCTGATCCCTCGAGGCGAAAATACCGTCCGACGGCGGAGCGCGCGACCGCGCCATTGACCTTGTGAACAAAGCCCGACATTGTGGCAGAATTTTTTTCTCGACGGCACCGCGGTTGATAATCGCAAAATTGGGTTGAGTTGTGTGCGATGAAGAGGTACAGTTGATGCGGAGTAGACCGGCGAGAGGATCGACGTCAAGCTCTGCTCGATTTACCAGTGAAGGCGAAGCGAGTCTTTTAAGTCAGGGTGCGTTCGTAGCACAGGGCCTGGACGGCGGATGTGAATGAAAGTGTATCCCGCACCAAAAAGATAAGGACCAGCGGCGACGACCAACCCTGTCGCATTCGACCTCCCGCGAAGAACCAATGACCCATATCAGGCCGATCAAGCCCTGCTTTAGTTGGACTAGTCGCGCGGCCCATGCGATTCCACTTCGCGGCAAGCTAGGCTGTCTCGGCGTGCTGCGCGTGAAGGTGACCGGCCGCTTCCCTCAGCCTAAGCCTGGGGAACGTAGAGTGAAGTCCCGGGCACGGCAGCTCGCCTTTCGCGACACCTCATCTTGGCGCATACACATGCTTTTCCCCCTCGAAGCCACGCCAGCCCTGGCGTATCAGGGTGGACGCGCTATTCGGAGGTCGCCGGCCGGCGCCCGCAGCCACGACCTGTGGAAGTCGCCTCTTGTCCACGGGTATCTAGGACCGAATCTCTGTTATCGTAGCTGACGAGACGCACACCACGGGCGCACCTCGTCGATTGCAAATGGAATCTTGTCAATCTTCGGAATGGGTCGCTCGTGTTGGAAATAAAGGTGGAGCTAGTCCATGCGACGGTTGACGGAGACTCGCCTAGTCGCGTTAATGAAGTTCTGATAGCACCAAGTGGAGTCCTTGGAATGCCGTCAGCCTTCCACTGCCTGCAGCGCTGTTTCGCCTGCATATGTCGTCTGCCTTCGTCCTCCATTGCGCAACACGACCATCCATATTGACGTTGGTGACACCCGTGTCATCGTTGGGTCGCTTCTCCTCACATGCAGGAGCGAACCCGGCAGCCAGGGCATTGGGGATTAACTGCATGGGGTCGCAAATATATCGCAAGGAGCCCCTTGCCCAACATTCACCAACAAACGGCTTTCTACACACCACCTCCGGGGAACAAACACATCGCTTGCTATACATACGATCTTGCATGAACGCTACGAGTATACTAATTGGCACGTTCCTTCTGCTGGGGTAGTCTACGCCCACGGCAAACACTCGCCGCCATCACGACCCAATAAATACTAATCAAGGACATCTAGCCTACTTGTTTGTTCTTCCTACCTCGAACACCACCACCTCGACGACTAATCTCAAGAGTCACACAAGAACGACGTGGCTACACCAATCGCCCTCCAGCTCTAGACCATGCCACCACGATACCTCGCCTCGCAGCATCTCAAAAGCAATTACGCGTCTTCTGGCCTTGTGGGACTCCACTGGGCCACATCTAGAACGCCCCGATCTCAGGTTTCATGGCGCTTGATGCGGTTTTCCATGTTATCCGCGCCGCAGTCGTGCTGTCGCCGGATCTGGTGTAACAAACAATCCACATGGAGTATTCTGAGCGCGGATTAACGCGGCTTTCCCGATGCGCCACGGGCCGTGGTTGATCTGAAACTCGCCGCGGGGATCTATGAGGAGAGACATTGTCGCAAGGCCTCCTACTTTGCATAGGCCTGCTGTGGAGATTGTTGACGGCGAGATCGATTTCCGAAGACCATATCGCCGATGTCGGAATCAATCATCTCGGCGTTGGCTGACTGCGATTCAAGCTCATTGCATCGCCATGAAGAGAGCTGAACGCTTGAACGCCACGCAACAAGCACAACGATTGTTCTAACCGATATGCACTACGTGAGCTGAACGACGGTGCGGGGATCGTCGCCTCGCTCCTAGCGCTGCCATGTGGCTACCCCTTGCGCTAGCAACATGTATTGGCTGCTAGGGGAAATGCAATATGCATCTTGCTCTTTAAAGCGCCTCGCTCACGTGGCATAGGAGACGTCACGATACAGAAGTGTTTGGGAGTGACTGGCTAACCAATCGCTCCTGCCGTGTCCTGCGGCTACGTGATTTCTGTGTTGTTGGTTCTTCCGTTTGGCGACCTTAAATAGAGTCGCCTTACATATCAATCGCAATGTCTGGAACGACAAACTCCCCTTCGGCTCAGTTTTATCCTCATCGTCGCCCAAGGCATTCCATACACCGTCGATACTTGGGTAGCCATTGGGCTGCTGGCGTCATATTCATCGATTGTAGCGCGCCCTAGAGCTGAACTAAGCAGCCTAGTGAGAGAGATCATCGCGGCCCGGAGTAACATGAGGACGGAGAGTTTGGAATGAGGGGATGACGAATTTAGAGTTTGCGGAGTGAATTCTACGCCGGCATACTTGAGTGCGATCGCGCCGTTGGTCCGCTCCGTATACACCTGCCGTATGGTCGCCTAGCTGGGGCTGACCGCATGGCGACTTTAGACACAATAATCTAAGCAAATTCTATGAGAATATCCACGAAGACCACAGTTGTCGCAATGGCATACAATACACATACAGCAAAACCCTTCAGCTCCCTGCCTACACCTCTTCCCCGGATACTATCTTCGTAGCCTTCTCCATATCCACCACCCCATCCCCATCCATAATCTCCTCCGCCCTCAAATAAAACAACGACCACGTCTCATTCAACTCCCCCTCCTGCATATGAACCTGAAACATCAGCGCATCCCAATACCTAATTCGCCATTCATACCACGTCCGCGCCTTTGGCGGAAGCACCCATTCGTCATTCGGTCCCAAGCGCATAGTCCTCTCGCAATACGTGTAAGCCGCGAGAGTTTCATCTTTTGCACTACGCGCATCGGCGACGAACATGATGTTCTGGTTTATGAAGTTTACGCTGTATTGGTTGCGTAACAGCCAGTCTTTGCATTCTGATGTGGATGTAAAGGGGGAGGGGAAGGAGGGGCTGGAGGGCTTTTTGCTGTAGTCGGTGCGGGCCTTGGGGCTGGCTTTGGAGGAGGCGATGTAGAAGGGGGAGAAGTCGTCGGGCATGTTGTGGGTGGCTTTGTGGACGAACTAGGATGGGTGTTGGTTTTGTGAGAGAGGTGGGGCTGGGAAGAGGTTAGACTTGCGGGCTTTGCCTCGTCGGCGATGCAGAAGAGCATGACGCCTGTCATCTTGAGGGATGATGTAGTGTCCTGGCTTGTTTGGAGTGAGACCGCCGGTGTCAGGCACTACCTACTTAGGTAGGTAAGGATGAGGATGTGACTGTGGCTGGCTTTGAGCATGTGAGCGGCCGTGGTGTCACGAATTCTCAAGGGACGCAAGACTCATAACGATGTTGACAACGGGGCGTAAACTTATATCTAAATCCTTCATAGAGCGTTGGTTGAGATGCATCTAAAGAACCGCCATTGGTCGGGTGCCTTTAGGATGTGGGGTCGTGATGACGTACAGGCAGTACATGGACGCCTAAAACGCATTTCAACGATCAAAGTCACCGGGACGGTGTAAGCATGTGATGTGTGTCTGGTATCGAATGGAATGAAATTACAACTACAGACCTCGGGAATCAGGAGAACTCTGAACTAAAGTTGAAGCTGCAACAGGCTGCCCGTCGTTGTCGAAAGCAACATGTCAACCCAGACAGACCACCTTCTGCATCTCCACCTCCTACAGCCCATCTCCTCCCAGATTCTACCTGCACCAAAGTAACTCGCAGTCCATTCAACGCCCCCAGTTCCCCCTATACAGTCCATCTAGGGCCTCGTTCAAGGCGTTCCAGTCATCCCAGTCGCCACTCATTCTCCCGTCTGCACTTACTCCTTTCTTATCTTTCAGATGATCCTTAGCTTGAGAAAGGAGTACAGCTAAGACGATAATGATAATCACCAGAGCCAGAACAATAAAGCAGCAAACGCAGCCGGCCGTGCATTCTTCCTCAGAATTCAGCTTCCGCTTCGGCGTCGTGAGTGCAGTGCCGCGCGTGAGGGGTGGGGCCTCAGCCGCTGGGGTGTGCGTTGTGCGTTGGGCCTCCGCGGCATTTGACTGCAGCGAGGAGAGGGCGATGTTCGTAGAGTTGGAAGCGTTTATTGTGTTCGATGCGGCTTCGATGTCGTAGTTCGGGTCGCTGGGTGTGGAGAAGTGGTGTGATGAATGGTGGACGTGCTCTAGAGGGGAGAGGATGTGATGGGGAGTGTCGTGTGTTGGTGGGTCGGAAGCCGTGTTGCAGAAATTGTCTGATGTAGTATGCGACGTGTGATCATGCGTAGAGTAAGAAGGTGGGCAGTCGAATGACTGATCGTATGACGTGAAGGTGTTGTCGTCCGACATGGCTGCTTTGAACTCGAGAGCTTTGTGTGAAGGCTGTTTTGAGTTTTGTGAGAGGTGTTGTAGTGGTAAAAGAGTGAGTAGAGAAAGTAGTCTTAAAGTATTCGAGATCTTACTCATAGTGGGTTCTACCATACATTGTATTAGCGAACCACGGGTCTACGGTCGTGAGTCGTCCACTCCAGACATCAGCATTGCCGCCAACGGGAATATGAGCACATTACACCAATGTTATAAAACCTAGGCTGACGCGCAATGACCTCCATCTACTCTAAGGTCGGCGCCAGTCATGAAGCGACTTCCCTCTGCTAGCAAGAAAACTGCTGGCGCTTTGAAGTCGTCTGGTACGCCAAGTTTTCCAAGCAGTGCACCAGCCATCCATGTCTTCTCTACATCTGGGTCTGCTGCGAGAAGTTCGTCGGTCATCGCAGTTCGAATATACTGTGGATGCATTCAGTATGATGTCTAGATAGCGAGATGCAAATAGACTTACACCTGGCGAAAGCGTGTTCACTCGAATGCCATACTGGCCCCATTCTTGCGCTAGCGAGCGACACATTTGGTGTACAGCTGATTTGCTGGCGTTGTAGGCTGTGCATGTAAGACCCTGAGATTGTTGTTAGATCCACTAAATGCTTCAAGACGGAGGCAATATACACACCCTATTGGCGACCTGACCCGACATACTGGCGATAAGCACGATAGAACCACCAGTACCCTTGTCCTTCAGTATCCTCGCAGCTCTTTTGACCGATATGAACGCGCCGACAACGTTCACTCGTAGCATGCGCTCAAAGTCTGATGCTTCGTAGTCGAGCGCTGGCACTCTTTGTTGGATACCCGCGCATGCGACCATGCCATTCAGCGGCGCGCCTTGCTCATCAGCCTCGCGTGATATCTCATCGAGAACTTGGGTGACTTCCGCTTCGCTAGTAACATCACATCTGCGGTATGTTGCTGTAGTGCCCAGATGCTTCGCAAGCTTTGTCAAGGTTTGCCATTCTGTGTTGCTTGGCTCTGGAAGGATGTCTAGGCAGGCTGCGTGTCCGCCTGCTTCCACGACAGCGAATGCGAGGGTTATCCCGAGTCCGCGACCACCTCCTGTGATGGCGATTGTCTTTCCCGCGAGAGAGAAGAGTGCCGGTGTTTGCGCGGTTGATGTTTGAGTTGTGGATGAGCTAAGAGCGCTAGTGACGGTGTTGATGGCTGATGGACTCATTTTGTTTCGCGGTAAGCTGGAAATTCCTCAAGATTAAGGACTGGTGTAGGGGAGGGTCTGAATGCAAAGTGTTGAAGAACGACGACGCAAGCAGCTTCCATGTATACCGAAGCTCATGGAATATATAGACGCGCATTTTCTCCACATTAGACATGAAAGCCGCACATGTGGAACTGATTCGCTGGAATTCCATCGTCGCAGATGCAGCGAGGCGCGTATGTGGATGGACGTTGATGTTGGTAGCTCTGGAGTGGGCCGGACACTGCACAGGGTTCAAGCAGTTTCCGAGTTGATCGAACGAGCAATCTTAACCGCTGCCAAGAGAAACAACCTTGTTCAAGCTACTGTTTGGCTGCGCATATAGCTGCCGCGTTAGGAAAGTGAATGTTGAGAGATGTCGCCAAACTCTGATTGTTTCTGGTAGACTTTGTACTTGGGATGCTCGAATTCAGCAGATAAACATACACCTGGGCAGGTACCCGTGCTCTTGCCTGGCGCATTCTCCTTCTGACCCATCGGAAAGATGTTTAGCACAAGGAACCCACTCCATCATTCAGGCAACTTCCAAACTACCATCGATTGCAGCTGCGCGACTGTGCCCTTCCCATGCGCATTGCATGCGGAAGCCACCACCTTAGGCAACTTCCCAACCACCATTGATCGCAGGGTTACCTTTTGACAGGCCGTACAAAACCTAGCGGGGTCGTCGTACCCTGCAAGCTCACCACCCGAAACCACCACGTTGGGCAAGTTCATGAAAACCATCGATCACGGCTGCCCTTTCGTGCCCTTTCCACGCGACGCCTACTGATCCATCCAATGACCGTCCAACGCCGTCGTGCCCTCTGTGCCCCTTCCTGCACGCCACCGGAACCCTCAAATTGCCCTCTACAGTAACTTTCAGCCCACCCATCGATTCCTTCGGAGCACGTCCATGCGCATGGTTCTCTTTCAAGACACCGCCGCAGGGAATGCGCGTTGTAGCGTCGTACTTCCAGGCGGTGAGATGGTTCACGAGACCATGCGCGCGCGGAGCAAACGACGTCATTCAGCCTCAATCGAGGGAGCTTATCGAGCACTTGTCACCCAACGCCCACCGCTTCCACGATATGCACAAACTTCCTCTGCCAGCATGATCCCTTTATCCTAGATCTCATTTTGCCTGTCTCTCTGTGTATTTCCTTCCTGCGCGTTCAGTCCCTGCATTTCCAGCGTCCAGCTTTCAGCGAGTCGAGTCATGTCTTTCCTCCAGCAAGTCCGCAACACGACGCGGCGCTTCCGCCGCACCCAGCTGCACAACATCGAGACGATAAAATCCCAACCGTTGGCCGAACTATCTGGTTCGCTGGGTGATCTAGGCACACTGCTCCCGCTCATGACAACCCTGGTCCTAACGAACTCGATATCGCTCCCCTCAACCCTCCTCTTCACCGGCGCAGCAAATGTACTCACAGGCCTCGCTTTCGGTATCCCGCTACCAGTACAACCGATGAAAGCCATAGCCGCAGTAGCAATCGCACGACAATTCACACTGGAACAGAATGCAGCTGCAGGGTTAGTGGTCGCAGGCCTGGTCGGTGTGTTCAGCATAACAGGGTTGATCAACTGGGCGAATCGCGTCACGCCTATTCCAGTGGTAAAGGGGATCCAAGTCGGAGCAGGCCTATCGCTATGCTTGAGCACAGGGACAAAACTCCTCTCATCACTCACCTGGACGGGACCATGGTGGGGCGACAACCTCTTCGTAGCCATCGCAGCAGTCACCCTCTTACTATGCACATTCCCCTACCCCCGCGTACCCTACGCGATGATAATCTTCCTAATCGGCATCTTCCTCTCCTTCGCATCCCCAACCAACGACAAAGTCTCCGTCCCACACGCCGCAATCCCCATTCTCCACCCCTCGGCCAAAGATTTCCTCGAAGCAACAACAACAGCATCCTTGGGTCAACTCCCGCTCACCTTACTCAACTCCGTCATCGCCGCCTCAGCACTCTCATCTGACCTCCTCCCCTCACCGCCTTACCCCGCCGCGCCCACTGTAACGGAACTAGGCATCTCAGTCGCGGCCATCAATCTACTCGGCTGCTGGTTCGGCGCCATGCCCGCGTGCCACGGGTCCGGTGGACTGGCCGGCCAGTTCCGATTCGGTGCTCGGAGCGGGAGTAGTATAATTTTCCTGGGGGCAGCCAAGTTCATGCTTGGGCTTATTACGTTTTGGAAAGCGGATGCGATTATCAGTACTTTGCATGACATACCCAAAGCGCTGTTGGGTGTGCTGGTTCTGGCTGCGGGCGTGGAACTAGCGAAGGTGGGGGAGAGTATTAATACCGATGCCCGCGATTTGAGGGTGCTGGAGAGGGATATGACGTGGGATGGGAAGAGAGTTAAGGAGTTGGATGAGAGGGAGAGGAAGGAGAGGTGGATGGTTATGCTTGTTACGGTGGCTGCGCTGCTGACGTTTAAGAATGACGCGGTGGGGTTTGTGAGCGGGTTGGCGTGG